TTGGTAATGGTTATTCTTAAAGGTAAGGAATAAGATAAAAATTTTACTAGACAAAAATACCTTTTTTAATTTTAAAAATTACTATACTATATAAATTAAAATTTATTCATTTTTCTCAATTTCTTTGTCTCTTTACCCATTTGCCTATCTCCTTCTCTCACTAAATTTTCTCCACCACAAAGGACAATAGAAGGTGACAGCAATGGCAATGGTAGGCGGTGATGGCATCCGATACCAGTATCTTCATAGTCAGATGCGAGAAGTGCCAATCAAGCTCTCCCAAGCCAAATCAAGTCATGAAAACTTCGGATCTATCACCTCCCATTGCATCTAGATAAAGGAATTTGCACTCCCCCATCAAATCCGATTAGGAAAATATCAAATCCAATAGATAAGGGGTATCTATCAATAGATGGAACATAGAATGCTTACTATAGCATTTTATCTGTTATTTATCAATACATGTTTCTCAAGTATTGATAGATAACCCCTTAAACTCTATCTGCTAGGTAAAATTCTGCATTTTTACCAAGCTAAAAGTCCTTTTACACTTTTAGGGCATTTCTAAGGCTAATTTCTATTTAATCGAGGCCTACATTCATGTCATAATGGAGTATAACATCAAAACAATACGCAATAATCTTAACAAGTAAACTTCCTTAATAACATTTCAATTATCATCATTCAAACATCATTAAAATCATGAAGTGTGATGGTACGACCTCCATCAATCTTGAGTGAAAATGTACAATCCCTATAGCTCCTTAGTCTAACAATCTACAAACTTCATTGCACCTGGGGCATTTATGATGCATCATGGGAGTGAAGTCACCACTTTATCCCAAAAGTGGAATTATACTTTACTCAATCAAACACTCATACTTGTATCTTTTAGTGTGTGGAAAATGCCTCACATACTGGCATAGATCATTTATCATACAATTCTACTCATTTTAATTAGTATATGGAATATGTATCATATACACAACATCATAGCATTCATTATATTAGCCTAGCCATCTCATACGGCATATGGAATTTAACATCATGTAGGCAATCTCATGACTTTCATCATATTTATTCAATCATCTTATATAATATATGGAATCTACATTATATACATTACATATATCAACATATCAAGCATGTTCATCATATCATTCATACATTAACATAAATGATATCTCATACCCACGCTAGCCCAACGGCCAAAGTAAGTGAGTGGGCTTCAAACATAAAAATATTTGCCCTTTCTTCTTGAAAACAACTAAATAATAAAGTATTTACATCCATATCACAGATTTGAAAACCATTTCTAAAACATTTTTGTCACCCATAAACTCATTTCATTTACTGAGAATTTATGTAAACATACTCATTATGAATCATCAAATCATGCTTTACCTTTACATATTAAACTAAGTTGAAAGTGCTGTATCCACCCACTTGTTGAAAGACTTGAACAAAACTCATGCTTAATGAAATCCATGAAGTTTTCAAACGCTCCTAGCATACAATAATAATCGAAATCAATTCCTAGAATAATAATCTCAAAATATTGGTTCTAGGTGCTTTCAAAATTTATTTGCTTTTGACTACAACTATTTTTTTTCTAACTAAACCCATTCTAAAAAATCATAAATCCTTTTACTTTTACGTTAGATGATGAGTAAAATCTCAAACCTTTAAGATTTAATCTTTCAATAGAATTTCTAGGTGTAAAAACAATATTTTCATAATAAAAAAGATGAGTTTTATGGATTTCAAGACTTAAAAATGTATCCTTTTTCATCAAAGTTGAAGAAACATGCTTTAAACCATTAAAAATGGTGATTTGATGAAAAAAAAAAAGTTGAAAGGGTTTTAAAAGGAACTTATGTACTAAAAATGTGACTGAGGGTTGCTAACCCTTGATGAATGTGCCATATTTATAGCTTTAGATGAGAAAATATCATTTTACCTCTTTTAGTTTTCTGAAAACAACATCATCAATCGACAAATCGAGAACATCTATCAATAAATAGGCTTTAGGATCCTTTTAAAAGTCCTCGGGTTTTTATCTATCGATAAATATTGTGCATCTATCGATAAATAGACTCATCTATTGATAAATATTTATCAAAATCAATTTTAGGTTTAAACGAAGAACATCTATTGATAAATAGACTTCAATAAGCAAAAATAAATATAAAAACTTGTCCATTTGGACTTCTTTCAATCTCAAACTTTGTAAACCATCTTTGAACATTAAAACATGGATTTTTCCAAGCTTTAAAACTAACTTTGAATGTTCAATACATGAATCATGTATGATCACCTAAGTGTTTTTGTTAACCTATCCACTTATTTAAGGTGGGATTTCACACCTTAGGCACAAGATTGGATTTTAGTATGGCCTTTCATCCACAAATGAACTGTCAATCTGAGCACCATCGAAATGCTCAAGGATATGTTAAGACCAATTGTGCTTGACTTTGGAGTCCCATGGAATCACTACTTGCCTTTAGCCTAGTTTGCCTACAACAATAGTTATCAAGCCACTATTGGTATGGCACCATATGAGGCTTTATATGGTCGAAGATGTAAATCACCTCTTAATTAACTTGAGGTTGGAAAAAGGAAGCTCTTAAGATCGAAGATGGCCCAAGAAGCTGAGTTAGGTGTCCATGTAATTCGAAAAAAGATGTTGATAGCTCAAAGTTAATAGAAATCTTATGCCAATAATAGGCAAAATTCTTTGGAGTTTATAGTTGGGGATCATGTGTTTTTGAAGGTTTCACCGATTAAGGGAATTACGAGATTTGGAAAGAAAGTGAAACTGAGCCCTAAATACATCAGACCTTTTGAGGTGCTAAAGCATATAGGCACCATTGCTTATCACTTGGTGTTACTACTAAATTTGTTCGATGTCCATCCAGTTTTCCACATATCTATGCTTGGGAAATATGTTCCCAATCCTTCACATGTGATTCAATATGATGAGGTCCAATTGAAAGACGAACTTATTTATAAGGAGCAACCTGTAGCCATACGAGATTAGCAAGTAGAATGGCTCCACTCCAAGGACTTTGCTATGGTGAAGCAACATAGGAACTTGAAGAAAAGATGGAAGCAAAATATCCTCACATTTTTGAGGTTTAATTCATGGCTTAATTATGGTGTTTGAAATAAATTCAAGGATGAATTTCTATAAAGAGGGGAGAATGTAATACCCTTGACTTTGATATGAACTATGTGGTGTGAACTAAGTTAATTGAAAGGTTAAGTTAAATTTTGATGTATTTGTTTGAAGATTTGAGAATATGCCTGTGTATAGAGAATGATTTTGAAATTTATTGTGTATTTGAAGACTTTTGATGATATGTTGATATGTTGAATATGCTTAGTGTATGGAAGCATACACCATGATATTTAAGCCAAGTGTTAGAAAAATGATTAATGAATCTTAAAGTTTGATTTTTAGATTGAGATTTGATTTTATATTTAAGTATATGTGCCAAAATCTTGAGTTATATGAAAGATTTGAAGTGCTTGTTTGACTAAAAATGCATTGGAGACTTAAGACTAAGCTGTCCACATCTGAACCTCCATTGAAGGCAAATGTTTGCCTCGTAAGGTTCTGTCCCCACCTTTGCTCCTCAACATTCTTCCTCCTCTTATACCACAATTTGAAGCCACAACCAATAAATGGTTAAACCATGAAGGCAAAACACTTAGACTAAATTGGCTATTTAGTGTAACCTCCCATCTGAAAAGGAAATTCTTAAGTAAAGGCTATTTTAGTTGAAATAAAAGTAACAGTTTAGTGTTAACCTCCTATCTTAAGAGTTTGTTTAACTCCATGTATCAATTGCAGTTGAAGTGGAACTACAACCATACACAACAACTATACATTGAGCAAATATTAAAAGTTCAGAAAAAGGTAGCAAACCTTAACAATCTAGCAGTTTAAATACTTTTGCCAAATTAAATCACTTCTTATATTTTGATGAGGCTAGAGAACCTATTATTTGCAAACTTTTGCAAAAGTTAAATTATTGAAGGATATTGGTGCACATTTCAAAAATTATATCTCTGAAGTACATATGATTATATCAATAAAAATAATTGAGAAGATGAAAATAAACAATCAATGTAATCAGAATAAACAAATCGTACCTTGTTAGTTTTATAGTCTCATCAATGGCATGGTCATATTGATCTGCATATTAAAATCTCAAAGTAAATGAAACTTTCTTACCATAAATGCACAAGTTATAATGAAAGAAAACTGAGTCAAGGAAAAAAAAACTAAAAAATTCCCATATTCATCTACAATAATAACAAGCTCTCTTACAAATGCAAAATTCAAGCATTTAAGAATCAGTTTTGTCACATATTATACATGACAAAACAGATCATAAGTCAATCAATGTGAATTTGATAAGAAAAAGTGTTATGGTTTAGCTAGACTAACAACATAACATCAATAAACCACCACAGAGCAAAATCAAAGTAGATCAATAGCAAGATTTAACTTTACACGATTGACCTGCTTAAGCCTTAACTTTGTAAAGGATAAGAACTTAAAGCCTTTTTGTGAACCTTTTAAATATCTAGTAGAACATGAAACCTACTTAAAATCATTATGTCTAAACCCATGGTAGAACTTTCATTATTTCCAATCACTCAACATACAAGTGACATTATTATCTTGACATTTTCTAGTGAGCATGTTGACAGGAAGCTAGTAAACTAAACAAAGATAGAACCACATACACAAGTTTATAGTCAAAAGTTGAAATTCATCACGAAACTATGACACCATTGGATTATATCAATTGTAGATGCACAATAAAGTGAATGAGTTTGCCAAAAGATACAATAAAGAAAACAAAAGCACATGAAACAATGTGCTGCACCAACATTTTACCAGAGGATGGAAAAAAAGGAATTTCAACCTTACATTTTGAAATTTCTCCACAACAGAAATGGCATTAGTATCAATACTCTTGCGAATAGCAACTTCTGCTACAATCTTGCTAGTCAGGAGTTTATCTTGCCAATGAAATGAAATGACCAAGTAAAACAGCCTCATTAAAAGCTTGATTCGACAACAAGGATAAAGCACAAATTTAGTTAAAACAATGAGAGTGTTGTCATTAATACCCATTACAAGCAATGAGAGTATAAAAATCATAGAGTCATCTAGATTACCATGAAGGTGGCATATCCAATAGCAAAAATTTGCCTCACCCATGGCCACCACATGGCAAGTTTCTTGAAAAGTATAGTCACCCATGCATCAGAATTATTCAACAATTTACTCACTGGCAGTATCCCCTACCAACAAACAATATCACAAACTAAGATACTTTAAAGAAATAACACTCCAAAACAAAACAATATTTATAGGAAAAAAAATTGGCAAAATGAAGAAGTCAATAGCTTCACTTCCTAACAAAAGCAAGCCCATTACGTAAGTAAGTCATTTAGTTCCATAGGCATTATGGCAGTCATTGTTTTCAATGCTATCAGTGTAAAATATTTCAATAAAGGCTCCAAAACCAAATAGTAAATACTCAGCAACAATAAAGACATATCTCTTTGCACTTCCAAAATTCCAAAACCAGAAACAAGGAAAGAAATCCAGCATAAAACTCTAGCAACAATAATGATAAGCGTTTGTTAACTAGTAATAACGACCCAGCAAACAAGCAACAATTAAGACAAGAAAATCCAAAACATACAAAAAAAAGAACAAAACAAACAAAAATTGAAGAAAAACACATTCAATCGTTGAAATTGCAAGGTATAGACAAAAAAAAGTCAATTTTGGGTTAGTTTTCCACCATATTTCTTGGTAACCAAACAAGAAAAAAATAAAGAGAGAAAAAACAAGAAAAAGGGAGAGAGAGAGAGAGGAAGAAGAAAATGACCTTCAGCTCCAAAGCTATAGATCGGAACCGCGAAACTGCAGAGGAAGCGAAGCATTCGGAGAGCAAAGAAAGCAACAAGTTAGGGATCAATTTCAAAAATGAAAATTTGGTCAAGTGATTGACCCACATGGTTTAAGGCTTAGAATCTGAGTCCTTGCTTTGGTTTAGATTTAGACTAACTTGGTAAATTTTTAATCTAAGTTGAACTGGTTGTAGAGTTCAATATTTTATATTTTATTAATAAATGAATAATTATTAATAGTAATAAATTTTAATGTATGTAAAGTTTACTATGTAAACTATAAATATTGTAAAAATAAATAAGATCTTTAGATGTTTATAATATATTAGATATTAATGTATAATATAATATTTAATATTATAAAATTATATATAAAACCAATATTATTTTGTTCTTTATTTACAATATAGTTTTAATAATTATTAACCAAATTTATTGTTTTGTAAAATATTAATTACTTATATTTCAATAAGTAATATATTAATTTTATATAGTATATATTTATATGTATTACTTTATTATATATATAATTAATGACACAACGTATATGTTATAATATAATATATTACAAAGTTTGTATAAACAATAACTAATTATAAACAATATATTATAAAAATTACAGTGATAATTAATAAAGTTATTAAGTATAATAATATAAGTAAAGTTTATTATAAGTTATAGTAATGCTTATGTATAAATTAAATATATGTATATATAATATATTTATACAATCATATATATATGTATATATATTCATAACATTTTATGTTACGAAATATTACTATATATAGATGTAACAATTATAACGTACTAAAATGGATGATATTTATTATCATATATTAATATTAACATATAAGTTATATTATTTAAAATATATAACTTGTAATTTCATATTAATACATTTTTATAAATAAATATACATAAATATAGCTAACATTAAATTGATATAATTATGATTTGTATATGTACATATAATAAATTAACATATTATAAGTATATTATTAATTAAGCTTACTATTATTCATCTTTATTTATATTAACTAACATTAGTATATATCAAGTATTATTATTTTGTATGATTTTAATGATTAAAATTATAATATGAAACTAATCGTAAAAGATGTACTTAAAGTAATATTATAATTATCTTATATGAATATAATTAATCAATGTAAAACATAATGTTGTATTACTTTATTGTATATATATTAATGACACAAATTATATGTTATAATGTTATTTATTACAAAGTTTGTATAACTAATCGCTAATTGTAAATAATATGTTATAGAAACTAAATTAATAACTAATAAAGTTATTAACTGTAATCAAATATTTTTAAAATTAAAATTTTTTTATAAAATTAATAATATGATTATGATTTTCATCTAACTTTATGAAATTAAAAAATTTATTACGTTATGTTTATAAACTTTTTAATTTTATAACAATAATGAATTTGGAACTATTAATTTATAATATATTATTTAATAAAGTTTTCAAAATATATAAAAAATAATAAGCAAAGGAAAACATAATTAAATTTTTAATATTATAAAACTCAATATGTATATATTGAAATTTATTAATATATTTCCTACAAAAGATTAATAAACTTTTAACAAATTTTTAATATATTTTACATAAAAAATTTTAAAAGTAGTAATACCAATGAAATTATCCAATGGAATATTCCTTTGGAAAATTTCTATTGGTAATAGCTTTTTCCAACGAAAAATTCTGTTGAAAAATTTAATTGGTTTTAAATTTTTTTGGCACCTTATATTTTCAGACAAATTTCGAGCCGGTTATTTTCCATTAGAATTTTCAAATGGAAATATGTCGAAAATTCCATAGAAAAATTTGATGGGACTAAATTTTTTTTATGCCAATAAAATTTTTAACGGATTTCTAAAAAAAAATTTTCATTGAAAAAATTCTGTCAAAAATCCATTGAAAAAAGTTAAAATAAATTTCCGTCAGAATTCCATAAAAAATCTGTTGAAAATTTCCAACAAAATTTTTTTCGTTCGAAAAACTAAGTTTTTTGTAGTGATTATGTAAGAGTTATCACTTGATCCCGTGAAAAAAAAAAGAATCTCTTTATGTATTGTATGAGGGTTATCCCTTTGTCTAATTAAAAAGTAAAAATCATTGATAGTGTATTGAAATTCCTTAGTTATCAGGATAGTGGATGTAGGCATCGACATAGCCGAGCCATTATAAATTTTTTGTATCTCTTTTTAATTTTTAAAATTATTATTCACTGCTTACATTTGCCTTAAAAAAATAGTTTTACATTGATTTATTGCTTTACACTTAGAAAAATATTTTCACTTTATTATTCATAGCTAGCATTAAACTTAGGAAAATATTTTTCTTTGGTATATTATTTTCATACTTAGTATTTAATTGTTAAAAGCTTGTTTTTGATACTAAAAATTATTTTTTGGGTGAAAAGTTTTAATTTTTATACTTAAATTTTCAAAAAAAAAATGTTAAAAACCAATTCACCCCCTTTTGATATTTTACTCTTTGAAACTTCTGTATTAACACATTATTTTATAAGACCTTTTGTAGGTTGATTCTTGCCTGCCATCGTCTCAAATCTAGCCTTTGGAAGCTAGTATAGTACTTCAAGTTTAACGTTGAAGAATCATCAATGGGCAATCCTGGTGTTGCTGGAATTGTTGGGGTGGTGCATTATGTTTTCTTAAGTTTAGGTGATTCAAATCCTGTAGAATTACTTGGTATTAGAAAAGCTTTCTCTAAATGAGCATAGTTGACATGGATGGTGACATGGAATTCTATATGGAGGTATGCTATTTTTTCACAAATTGAGTGACAAAAAAATAACACATATAAATATTGTGATCAATACGATGTTTCAAATTGGGTGACCAAAATAAAATAAAAAAATTCAAAAGTTAGGTGACAAGAAAGTAATTTACTCCAAATAAAATGATTGTTGAATAAATTAATATAAAGCCTTTGTTTATGCTAGAATATTGCAAATATAAAAAATGTAGTTTTCGGCATATCAATACATGCACTTCGCTTGTAATTGGCTTATGTCATTTTCATGTTCTAATTAATTATACTTAAATACTTCAAAATTTTACTTGCTTTATATATATTGGTTTTGTTTATTCGCTGAATTTGGATAAGAGATTGAAATGTACATCACATGTCTATTTTTCAATTAATTTTTTGAATAAAGTTAATTTGTAGAAGCAAGTGTTTAATTTTTTATTTGAAATTTATGTTTCAAGCACTTAAAGTCACAAACTGAAGCAAACCTTCAGGAATAAATAGAAATTGAAACTAATACTCCCAAGAAAGCCTTATTCCGATTCCTTGTCTAAGATTTGCACAAAGTCATCTTTGAAATATTAAAAAATAAAAAATAAAAAATGCATGACATATTTACCTTTCCATCATAAATGGAAAGATGGTAAGACCAATAATCTTCATCATTCCAAAACTCGAGCTTGCAATCCTCGTTCTTTCTTTTGTTTGCTTCTTTTCTCTAAAATGGAGCAGATCCGACATTTTAGCCACCCGCACATGTTGACCTTGGTAGAGGTGGGTAAGGGTACTGACGCTGAGCGTTGCGTCGGCTGCGGTAGTTTCTTCCGCGGTCCAGCTTATACTTGTAAACAATGCCCTGGTTTTTTCTTGCACAAGTCATGCGTTGAATTGCCCCGTCAAATAAAAAATGAGGCTTTTCACCAAGAGCACCCCCTGACACTGTATCCAATGGATTCGTTCGTCTGTGATGGATGTGGAGAGCTGTGTGGGGGCTTGTTTTACAGGTGCGGTTTATGCATGTTCAGCCTCGATGTCAAATGTGCTACTTTAAATCAGGAGCTTGCTAGAAGTAAGGCTCAGAAAGGGATGGAAATTAAAATCCTAATCAACCATTTCAGTCACAACCATCAGCTGACTCGCTGCACATTCCTCTCGCCCCCAGGGAAGAAGAAAAAAGTACCTTGTATGGCATGCAAACAAAACATGGATGGTAAACTGATCTATTCTTGCCAGTCTTGCTTATTCCTCATTCATGAGTCTTGTCTTATTAACATGCCCGAGCAAATTAAAAGCTCCTTTCACCCGGAACATCCTCTTCTTGCTCAACCTCTTGGTAGGGGTATTGTAGTTGAATGCGGTGGTTGTAGCGATGGAGTCTATGGTATCAGCTTCAGCTGCAGTGAATGCAACTTCGACTGCCATGCCTCATGCGCCAAGTACCAAACTCGTGCCATAAAACATAATTGCCATGTTCACCCTCTTTTACATTTGGAGACGAGCAATAGCCGTCGCATACAGAGATCTCTTGAGTGTAAGGAATGCGGTGAATATTGTGAGGAAGCCTTCTTGTGCTGCAAAACGTGTAAATTCTTTACACATCTCGAGTGTGTTCCACTACCCTCTATTGTTAAACATATCCGTCACTTACATTTGCTTATACTTAAAAATTCTGTGGTCCAAGATGATTCTAATGAATATTATTGTGATGCGTGTGAAGAGGAAAGGAATTCAAATCATTCTGCGTACATTTGTGAAGAATGCAATTATATCATGCATATTCATTGTGTGATGTCTGAGGTAAGCTGACTAGCTAAAGTAAAAGTTTTCATTTAGAATTTACCAATTTTGGTGGAAAAAATTATAGTCAAAAAAGCGTATAAGTATTTATTCGTAAATTTTGTACAATTAGTGTCATGAATTTATTATTTGTTTGGCTGCTCTCTTTAGGTATAGGTTTTTTTTTGTTTTTTTTGAAATTAATGTAACCTTTTTTCTGCTCTTTGCTAGAACTCTGAAACTAAATTCCTCCATGCTTACTATATTAGGTTGAACCTCCTGAATGGATATCATCATATCTAGTTCCACGACCGAGAAAAGAGAAGCCTGACAAAGGAGATCAAATTACTAGCAAAATAGATGGCAAATTGTTGGAAGGGGAAGGGATACAGCAGGGAAGAACAGAAAAGAAGTCTATCCTGGATAAGCTGGAGGCTGAAATGGATCAAGTCTGGAAACAGATGGACAATCTACGCGAAAGATTACGGGAGCTCCAAGAAAAATATCGCCACGTAAAAATATCACTTGATAATAAGGAAGGGCATTGAACATCTGCTTTGAACGC